TCGGTCGCGATTTTTATATGCCCGTTCATTATTTCTTCTGAGGGTCTTCAAAGTAGGAGAAGAAAATCTGGTGGGACTGATGAACATAGGGGCTATAGAGCAGCAGATGTCAAAGCAGGAGTTCAAATAGCTCGTGCGGTGTTCACACTCGACCGAGACACTTGGATCAAAGAACTGATCAAAATTTGTACCAGAGACCATTTCTCTCAGTGATACCAAGTGGGCCGGGTCGAACAGCCTGTGAAAAATCTTCCGGCTAGATGTACGTGTCAGTGTGTTATGATGTTTCTTTGAGTAGACTGTTGGCAAAACATTTATGATACAATGAGCGGAGTTTGCCAGAGAGGCTCTCCTCTTCGCATCACAAACAGGTCAGGATCGTTCGAAAACATAAGGTCCAGCTGCGCGTTTCCTCTTGTGGAGAAATTTACAATATTGTGGGGAGAGAGACAAGTCAGAAAATGAATATCTGCATGGTTAAAATCCCCACTAACAATAAAAAGAGAGCGTTCCGTGTAGTTAGAAAGTTCGGATATAAATACATCAGCAAACGTCTGTACATCAGAAATTGTACTGGAAGGTGCTATGTAAATGTTTAATGCAACGATGGAACGATATTTACTAAGGGAACGGGGTTTACATTCAAACGAAAGACATGAGTTATATCCTACGTTGTAAGTGAAGATAATCATTTTAGACTTACATCAAGACGGTTTGGTGTAGGTTATTAGACCACCGCCTCGATTTCGTAGTAAACAGTTTCTATCCGACCGATGCATATCAAAGAAATCCAGCTCAACCAAAGAGTCGTTGATGTCAGGATGCAACCACGTTTCTTGCAGCATAATTATCGCCAATGCACGGTATTCTTTTGTCCTTATCAATTTCGAGAAGTCGCTCATTTTTCCAAATAATGATCGCACGTTTCATGAGCAAATTGCAGGGATAGACATTTTCTGAGGTTTTTTGTTACGTAAAGCCACATGCCAGCCTGCTAGGTGTTTTCTGAGGAAACCTGATCTAGACGGTCTGCGTCTTTTGTATCTATTTTTAACTGAACGACTGAGCTGATAGAAAATGCCACTCTTGCGCGATAACACAACGTTGCAAATTCTTTAAAGATTCCGGGGCGTACGTAATCATGAAAGCGATGAAAGAAACTTGATTCAAACGATTTAAATCCAATGTGTAACTTAAAAGTTGATGAATTATCCACTGGAGCACAAAATGTAGCACGGCCGAAATTTGAAGGCCCTGCCTTGCGGCGGGGCCTTTTAGATGATTCAATTAATTATGAGTGTTGCTCACTATAGTTTAATTTCATGTCCGCTTAAATGCTCACTGATAATTTAATTTCACACACAATGTGAATCAAAATCGTGATAAATAGGCCAGTGTTGAAAACAATCACATCGCTGCTTGTATTTCAGGCGATTTCGGGCCAACGCAATCCTGACCAATGTGAATGAATCAGGTTTGTTGCCGCGTTAGAAAACTCTGCATCAGACAATCACATCAAACAGAAATCGCATTTTGTACATGGGTCAATAATTTGGACTGACTGATTCGAAAGATTCGAACCATAGACGGGAAATGATGTGTAGACTTGGTGACCTTGAGATTTTGAATACCGTACTATACTGTGTGCGCGTGTTATATGTGCAAACAGAGGAATACTTATCCAAGTTGAGGAAATTAGCTTGTCTTAGCCATGACGAATGAAAACTAAAACACAAAGGCGTTGATGACAACGTTTCGACATTCTTGTTATTAACTTATCCAAGTTCTTATCAAAAATTCAACATCCTGCCTGTGAATCCAAGTTCTTTGGTTTTTCCGTGTCATGGAATTTGATTGGCACAAATTTCTGGGACAAATGACCAGTTTAAAAGCTAAAATACCTCTAGCTACCTTGAGGGATTTAGGCGGTGTGTGTCGAGCGAGTAAGGTCAGCAACATTTCACTCCAGAAGTCATGTGTTCGAACCCCATCACCTATGCCTCATTTTGTATATTTGTTATCATGGCAGCCCTTTGATTGACCAGTTCCACCTACCATATCGTTGATTATACATTTATATATTTAGTAAAAATCATGATAAAAATATAACTTATCCAGATAGACTGACCCTCACGACATGTCTCAAATCAGACCACCAAGAACGATGGCTAACTGGACCGAGGTACTTGGTCTGTTATTTGACTCAAATGTATGACTGAGTTGGTTATTTACA